GCTCGAAGAACCAGATCTGATGTTCGGAAGAGAATAAAAGACCAACATATGAAGACAGCAAGCTATGACTCTGAGTCTGTCAATGTGACAAGGAGCTACTGAGATGTGTTCTCATTTTGGTTCTTGTACATAAAATCTGTTCTAAAATGGATAAGTGCAATGTTATTCCCCCCTTCATATTTAACTTCACCAGACCTTCTTTATGTCCTCCATGTTTATATGTTCTGTTTCTAAGAGATCCGTTATTTCGTGCATCTTGCATCCCATTTTTCTTTTCTAACTTTTTTTTTTTTTTTTTGGTTAAGCTCCGAATCAAATCCCTTACCTTGTGCCCGCTAGGGTTCGGGTTTGAGCTCGATTTGCCTCAACCCCAAATCATCTTATACTTTAAAAAAAAAAAAAAAAAGAAGGAATGCTTCATGGACAAAACCAAACAACATGGGCAAAGTGAAATGAAAATGAAAGAGAAACTTAAAAAGGAGTTTTATGATTACAAAAGGCTATAATGTTGAGAGGAATTTTGTGGGTAACTTAACAACCATATGAAATTAAAAAAAAATTATGATTTCTCATTTACTCACCAAACTATATTGATGTTATAGGATTTGATAGGAGGAGGAGGAGGAGGAGGGGAGCCATTTGTCAATAAAGAGGTAGTTATAGTTGTAATGAGGAAGCAAACTCATCCATAATCATATAATTAAATCAATTTTTGCATAAAAAATTATAAAAAAATTAAAGTAATATTCATCTATATTATTTTTGTATAATTTAACATTCCATTTATTATTTTTTTTAAAAAATACAAATAAAACTTAAACTCAGATCGTAGAATTCCGTATAAAAATATCATATCATCTGAACTATATATTTTTAATAAAATTAATCTATGAAGATGAATAAATAATTTTGTCTTGTAATAAAAAATGAGCACATGTCTTAATCTCTCACTTCTTTCATGATATTGCAAGAATTAAAAAAAAGCCTCCCAAAACCACCACCAACAAATATTCAATTATCTTCCAAACCAAGCAATTAGACACAATCAAATGCTTCTTTAACTACAAGGGGGCCTCCATACTTCCCTACTTACCCTCCCTCTTACACAAACTCATCTTCTTTTTTCTTTTTTTTTTCAGAAAACAAAAAATGGTCAATAATTTCTTTGGTTTTTTTTTTTAGTAAATTATTTAAAAATATTTATACTTTGAACTTAATTATATAATTGGGCATGCGAGTTTATTTTAAGACGTACAACTTTACTTTAAAAATTTTATAAATATTAATACGTGTATTTATAAAAATTAAATTTTTAAATAATTTTTAATTTATTTTATTTTAATACTGTCTCAAACTAAAAATTTATAATATAATTCAGTCTGAATTAAAGTTAGATCAGTTTATTTTTTAGTTGAGTAATTTTTTTTTTACTCGACTTTATTAATACAAAGAAATACTTATAATGGTTGTATTAATAGAGTAATTGATTTTCTAAAACAAAATAATTAAATTAATTATTTCATAAAATCATTTGATTAAACTAATCCCTCTGGCAAGGAAACTTCAGGGTCAAGGAAGAGGGTATTGATGTAAATAAAACAAAATAAAGAGTACATTTACGTCAATCCAAGTAAATATTCCCCGGGGGGGGGGGGGGGAAAATGAGGAATGAAGTGGCAACAAAATACAACAAAAAAAATAAAACATAGAAGAATGCCACTTCTTTCAAATGTTATTGGACTCATCATAGTTTGAAAACAATCATGCACTCAAATTTTAAGGATCCACGGGATCCTCAAAAACTTCCAAGGGTAAGTAAACCTGTGGTTCCTCATTTCCTTCCTCATCTGGCGGGGGAANTGACGTAAATACCCCGATAGGATAAGGGTATATCGGGTATATAGAGGTTACTCTGTTGGAACATATTGTTACTTCTTTAACGGTTTGATACAATCATTTTCGCTCTCTCTCGTCTGTGCTTCTCTTTGGACGAGCGTGCCTCCCTTTTTTTTTCTTTTTTTTTTTTCCCTCCAATTCTTGACGGTCTATAAAGCGACCTCCCAGGTCCCTATTTTCATTTCTCTCTCTAGCAAACCGGAGAAGTAACATCTTCGTGTTCTTCACCGGTCCGGTACTTCAGGTGAGCTTTAGTTTTTGTTCTCAGATTTGTTCAAGATTTTGTTCGTTTTCATTATCTTTGTTCGTTGCAATGAAGCTGCTGCATATGTGTGCGTGTATGTATTAGTTTATTGCAACTTTTTTCTAAGTTTGATGGATTCTTTTTTACGTAAAGCGATTTGTTTGTTGAATTATTGATGATTTTATGATTAAATTTAAGGCTGATTTCAGTGATCTGGTGAGCTTTTGCTTTTTGGCTCTCAGATTTGATCAAATATTTTGTGGCCTTTTTTATATCTGTCTGTTTGTTGAAATGACGCTGATGTACGTCGTGCGTGTATGGTAATTCATATTGCAATGTTAATATCTCTCTGAATTTGTTCGAATTATTTTTGTTGTTGAGGTTCTTCACTTCTCGAATTACTAATAATGTTCTCATAATTTAATTTTACGGCTGATTTCGTTTTTCATTCTTGGATTTCTACAATCGATTTTGTTCCTGAAAATTTGATTTTAAAGTTCACAAGAACGGCATTTGGTTTACTTATTTTCCAAGAAAGAAAATATTGTTTTCAGCAAGAACTCAGGTTCGCCAAAAGAAAAAAGAAAAAGAAAGAGAATCCTTGTGCGTGATTTTCCGGTTTCTGTAGATTTTCCAGCAATAAGGATTTAAGTTCTCCTTCATCACTCAACAGTGTACGATCTGTTTTTGGCGCATCTTTTTGGAAAGTTTCTAGTTAGATCTCAAAGTTATGGACCTTTTTCTTCAAAGAAAATGAGAGGAGCAGAAGAAACTAAACTTGAATCCGTACATAATATGGTAGTACGTTTATGTATTCATTGAGCTTTGGCTCATCCACATTACCTATTATTTGTACTTCTTTTAACAACTGAATTCAAATTTCTAGTTCTAGTTTTTTCTTTTTTTTTAAGACAGATTTTTCAAGTTCTTGTTATTCATCTGCAGTGCGTAAAGAAACCATATAACATGCAAAACGATACCACTTCAACCACCTATGGCGACTATACCACGGATGCCGCCACAACCACCACCATGAAATTCCAAGACCAGCAATTTGATGGCGGCGTTATGAACTCGCTATACTCCTCTTCATCTCCTATGTTTTCTCCAGAAACTTCCCTCTCGCTCGCTCCATACTTGGACCCTTCATACCAGCAGTCTCGCCTCCTCATGCAACAGCACCAAGACATGGTCAACCGCCATGCACTTTCACTCTCACGTCTCAGCGAAGCTGAGAAGGAAGCGGAATCCCTTCGCCTGGAGAACGCCAGACTCCGGTCCGTCAACCGCGAGCTCAACAAGCAACTCAGCATCTTAATCCGAGCATCCGTTCAAAACCACTTTATTTCCTCCTCGGACTTTGAAAGTACGCCGTTTGACGTCCTCAACGGCTTTCGCAGCCTCTCCATCTGTGGCGGAGACGATCAGGAGCATGCTGCTAGTTGGGAGGATGTCTGCGATGAGAGTCCAACGAGCGTGATCGAGAGAGTGGATGGAGAGAGGACTTCATTGCCCAAGAGTATCTCCATTAGATCCAACGGATATTTGAAGATGAGTGTGCAGAACGGTAATGGACATGGTGGAAGGAGTACTCGTGGCGCGACTCGTCCTGGAACTTCTGGTTTGCTCAATGAAACGGTAATTATTTTATTGTTGTCCTTTTATTATTTTCCCTTCTAATTTCCGGTTTCTTAACTGTTTCTTATTTCTATTTCTCAGTGGTAAATGGCACTTTATTTGGGTTTGTCATGAGAAAATGCCAGTACTACATAGAAAGCATGGTTGGATATGCTAGCTTTACGGTGTTGCCATGAGCTTGCTTAATATATAGAGTAGTCTAGTGTTGATGTAGGAGCTCGAGTAATGAACGAGATGCCTTGCAGTTGAGGTTTCTGTTCATGATTTCGGCTTGTCGTAATTCATAATTATACAAGGCAGTATTATGATGTAGAGTCTGATTGACAATCATATTGAAAACCTTGATCTATAAATTAATTGGGCTCGTAGGGCTCAAAAACACGACGTCCGAATAAATAAAATAATTGATAAGCTCTGTATTAGGTTATCTTTAATCGGTCGGCTAGCTTCAGTTGTACGTGTTGATAATTCTTCTTTAATATAGAGTGACGATATATGATAAAATTAAGAATTATGTAGGAAAGTGGGATGGTAGCGTAGTGCCTATTCATGACAAGTTTGACCGCATATTTCCTTTTCATCTTAATTTGTATGAATATTTTGACGTTAAACGAAATTGGGATATCCTCGATGGGGCCCTTTCTCTAGTCTTTGCAACGCAAATAAATTGCATATGCCTTCCCTCTTCAGTTTTGGCGATCAATATTTGATTAAGGGGTTACTCTGTAGTGTGAAAATAGAAGTTTATTATATGACGGGAATATAAATGATATAGGATTCCGGCTATTGGAATGGACTGTCTACTAGCTGAATATTTAAAGAAAATAAAAAGAGGTTTCTTCACTTATTTTCCATTTCGTCTTTCTGATGCGATGTATGTTTTTTAATTCGTTATGCAAATATTGACAATGACAAATGCTGAAATGCAGCAAAAGGTGTACGTACATGGAGGAAAGAAAGAAGAGGAGCCACTTGAACTTGAAGTGTACAACCAAGGAATGTTCAAGACCGAGTTATGCAACAAATGGCAAGAGACTGGTTCATGTCCATATGGCGATCATTGCCAATTTGCTCACGGCATTGAGGAGCTGCGCCCTGTCATCCGCCACCCACGCTACAAGACCGAGGTCTGTAGGATGGTCCTTGCTGGTGACGTTTGTCCCTACGGTCACCGATGCCACTTCCGACATGCCCTCACCGAGCAAGAGAGGTTTATGGGTCAAGTGAAACCCAGGGCAATCAAGCTTGAAAGGTAAAAGAATATCAGAGCTATCTGAATGATGATTAATATTTGAAGATAGACTTTTCTGAACGGCTCACATAGTAGAGGTTTTCCTACGATTCTCTAAGAGGGAAGGTAAATCATGTTCATAGATATAGAAATAGAGGCTTTGAATTTGTTGGAGATAAAATAAAAGACCAAAAATAATCGTAATGTAGGAAGAAAGAAAATATTGATACGTTGAGGCTTGAACGAGGCCGGGAAGCTAAGAAATTTGACGAGGAATATAGAGAGAGGGATTCACTGTTTCTCGAATTATATTTCTGTTCCTTCGGTTTTTTTCTAATAAAGGTTTTTCTTTTTTTTTTTTTTTTCACTTTATTAACATGACTTGTCGAAGCATGATATATACTTGATATGAGACTCTTGATGATTGAAACCAACCAACCAAATGGGGACCTCATTGTAATGATATTTTTGTCGATTCCGCCGAATTTTATTTTGTTCTCAGAGCTTTCTAATGTTATATTTCACAAAAGCCTTTTCTCGAACATTTTCCTTGTCCAATGTTCATTTACCATTGCAGTGGAGTGTCATGCATCTATCTCTCTGAGACGTGCATACGCATACGTCGTCCTTTTAAAAAAAAAAATTCGTGGATTTGGTTTGTAGATGAAGTAAAAAGTCTACCGAAGCTATGATTGAATTTGTTGGAATGCAGAAAGCCGTGTTATGCCGATCCAGCCTGTGAAATGAATAGAGTTCATTAATTAACCAACATATAACTCTCTATTGTGTTGTACAACCAAAAGAGCCCATTATGGGTTTTTGGGCCCAGGGCAAGTTTCCTCCCGAATGTAACATGCGAGACATCTTTACCCAATTATTGTATCTTATTTTTAAATCACTCCCTCGACATCCCACGACTACAACCTTTTCCCAACTCCTACACCAATCCTGCTATATATTATCTAAATAATATAATGGAACATTCTATTTTTAAAAAAAAAAATTTACTCATGTCGATAATAAACTTGTGTTTTTCTATGCAAAGTATCTTATTTTTAAATTTTAGTTTAGATATAAAATGCAACTGAAATATTATTTTTATTATTTACACCTGTAATTTTTATTTTTACTTCTATACTAAAATTTGAATCAAAATTAAACTTACAGGTTTTAAAAAAACAGAAGCTTTGGGATAGGCATAAGTCTTTTTTAATCGAATACTGACTACTCCCCGTTGCCATCAGCAACCACCGAGCCGCTAATAAAGGCTAATATTTCTCGGCATAAGTCTTCGTTAATTGATTACTATCAGCAACTACCGAGCCACCAGCAAAGTTGGTTACGTAGGATATGGTCTGTTTGGCATCTTCTATCTGTAAGAATAAAGTTGGAACTCTTTCTCTTGAGCTGTGCTGCTGAAGATGAAGTTCTAATAGAGAGGCGAGAGAGGGAATGTGAGAGAGTTGGAGGAAGTTATTGGCATGAGAGATTTGGAGAGGAAATACTCTCCGTCCAACTGCGGATTTATGATGAATATCTTTTCCAAATTCTCTCGTACCGATGATTTCCTCCTATTCATCCCTTTCCCTTTCCTTCCCTGCTTCCTGGTTAGCTGGACGCTATCTCTTTACTATGAATTTGACAATAATCCATCCTCCTTACCAAACCTACTGTTTTCCTCACACCCCTCTGTTTTTTCTTTTTGCATTTCAGGTTCTTCAAACAGTATGAGCTCAAATTCCATGTTTATAATAATTCAACTAACGAATTAACAGTGATCATTATCCAGTACGAGCTCAAAATTCCGTTCTGACTTCTCACTTGTCGGTAACCTGCAATCTTCACCGAGGAATTTGGGTTAGCAAATCACGGGAATAAGGCGAAATGTTGGGATGCCGGTGCTTCGAAAATGATAGGAATTGAAATCTTAACAGATGTAATTCTGTGTTTATCCTTGTCTATTTATAATTTTGTATTAATAAATCTCTTCAGTAAATATGTTTTCATTTTTGCTTTCTTCAAAAATAAATCAGTGAACTGATTTGATCCGGCGAGTTTCTTTCAGTCCACCGGCAGCTTTTTTCGCGTGAACCCTGACAGCTAAACGTGGGCTTTTTACAGAAGCCTTAAGCTACCTACAATCAAATTAGCTTTTCTAATTTTGTCTGGTTAGAGAATTTTTAGGATTTTTCGATTAATATAAAAAATTAACAAAATACTTCCTCCATCATGAACACAACTCTCTTGAGCAAATCAAGCTGTTCTAATAATTAATACATTATTTACTAATAATATAATATTCTCAGAATTAAAAGGGATATTTAGATATTTTGGTTGACAATCACGTATTCAAATAAAGTGAGTTTATTGCAATAATATATACAAATAATATATATTTGTATTACATACACTATATAAATATTAAATACATAAATAGTATGTGATATATATATATATGCTATTTCTTAACATTTAAAACTATATTATTAATATATAAATAATATATTTAAACAAATTAAAAATTTTGACACAAAAAATCCACTCTTGATGAAATAAAAAACTAAGAGATTAATTGTTGGCCCAAATACGATTGTTGTGTTTCTCATAGCCCATGACTTTTGGGTTTTTAAGTATCAAAAGTTTGGTACAAACCAAGGCTTTGGACTCGGGTTAATTCTTATTTTGGTATTGTAATTTTGATAATTTATTTTTTTCCAAAATCGGTATTGAATTAATTTTTATTTTATATTCAACTCAACGATATATATAAACTCTTTTCAGTTTTAAGAAAATTTAATTAAAAAATACATTGAGTACAATAATCACAAGATAATTTAATATGATAGTTTGAGAGAAAATTCTAATAGAATTTATATATTTTTCTGTACTTAGAGGTTCGAAAGATAAAAATGAAGTATTTGTACTTTCAATGAAAAGAAGTTGACGTGCACACCTTATACACCTTAGCATTTTTTATGTTTAACCTAATATGTCTTCATCACTTGTAGCTTTGGTTAATTCGTTTTACGATCTAAGATTCATTAACATCGACGATAAAAATTTTAATTTTGCGAATTTAAAAGTTTATTAAGAGATTTTGGTCTTTCGTCAAAAAACATTTAAAAAAATAACAAATAATACATCAAATAACATAAATCTCTATATATATATATATACACCTTTAAAATTATATTTTACTTACAAATAAGTTTATTTAAGACAATTACTTAGAACAACCAAATGAAAGAAACTTTGGACCGTGAAAAAGAGTGTCATTGACTCATAAAAAAACACCCTTTTGAGGTCTCTCCCATCACCACTTTCACTTCTTTTCACACACTCTTTCCTCCTTCACCACATAACCAATCAAATTTTTTATAATTTGTTAAAAAATAAATAAATAAAATTGTATTTTCTCTTTAAATTAAATATTTAATTGGCTTCAATTTTATGTTAAAAATTTATAATTTTAAAAACGAAAAATAATATTTAATTAAAAAAATAAATGGTAAAAACCAAGATTTCACAATTTACCACAACCCATGCAGGATCCAATGCAAGAGCAAGTGCGTGTGATCTCAGTCGTCTCTCCTTCAAAACGGATCGCCGTATGTGGCCAGATTGACGGCTTGAAACGGCTCAAAACGGGGTCTGTGGGTCCCGCTTTTTTTCGTTGGAGGAAAGATTGTGTGGATCGAGGCCCATGCGCCGCTCTCTGTTCGCCGTGGAAGCGACAGCTAGTGGGACACGTGGCACCTTTTGTTCCACAACACAAATTGTCAGCGTTTCTGATGACCGTTGAGTATCCAATGATTGCTTTTCTCCTACTTAGCCAGTAAATTTATCACACTCTCCATCCGCACTCTGAGACACACTCTCCAACTTTACTATGCCATTTTACTTTGGAGCAGTGTCGCCCCACACTACAGAGGGCGAGTGGTTTTGCTTTTTTCACAATTTCATTATTTAGAGCCATTATCTCACTTTTAGTAATACTTTCAATTCGTGCGGGATTAAAATATAAATAATTATGATGTGTTAATGACGTGGTAGTGACGTAGGAAAACCGAGTCGCGTTTAAACGTCAGTCGAGCCCGACTGGCGACGGCTCAGATTTAACGCGCAGATTGGGAAAGTGGAGCACTCCCCGAGAGTGGAAGTTGCTGTATCGGGACCCACTTATATAATTGGTCTATCATGGTTCAAATGGATTGGATTTAACGATTCTCGACATATCAAATCAGTCCCCTTCACTCAAAAATGAAAAAAAGTCAGTCCCCGGGTGAAAAGCTAGATATAAACCGTTTGATCAAGATCAGACGGTTTTCACTGTGAAGGTGCACAAATGTTACGCTGGACAAGTTTAGCATGGTAGCATCAACTCAAATAAGTTATCCTTTGGTCGGTATCCTACTTATTTTTTTAAAAAAAATACTATTAAATATAGTAATTTTGCATAAGACATGAGTCAATATATAAATTTTAATAATAAATTAAAAGTAAATTAAAATTTATTTTTTATTAAGTAATATAAATATATATATATATATATATATGTATGAAAAGAAACAAGAAGATGAGAATTGCAATGGCTGACTATTGAATAGGCTTTATACATGCACTTTTTTTTTTTTAATTTTTTTTTTGGGGTTATGATGGAATAGACAAATCCAAAGGTAAAGTTGAATTTTAGAGGTCCCCCCAATTTGCACTTTCTCTCTTGTTTACTCGTTAGGTTTAACTTCCCCCGTCCATCAAACCTAAAAAAAAAAAAAAGGTGTTTTGGTAATGTCTTCCCAAATCATGCCTCAAACCAGACAAATCACTAGTGCCATTATTTCTTAATTTCTAAGGCTAACTACCCCACTTTATTTGACAAACTTTGTGTATACACATATATGTGCATACCCACATACACATACGGGTAAGTTTTGTAAATTACAAAATTGAGAAAAAAAAAATAATAATTGGGTTGTTTTATATATTTATTTGTAAAAATATATAAAATTCATATATTTATAGGTTAATCATGTATGATTTATTATTGGAATCTTTATCGCTGATTGACATATATAATTATGAAAATATTCTTAGGTACTAAATAAATTTTCAATTTTTTTTTTTTGTTATTGTTCCGACGATTAAGGAATTAAAGGGTTCTATCTATCTTGACTTGAGTCAAACTTAGGTCAAGCTCTTCGACTTGACATAACTTGATTTAGTTGTTCGGCATGTTTTCTTCTCGTTTATTTTTGACTT